TTTTTCAATTTTTTCTTGTTTTTTTTTTTTTTTTTTTTTTTTAACTAGGAATCAAATCCACTCTTTACTTTGAAGGAGGCAGCATTAGTGGGAAAGTGGGCTTTATCCTGAACCAGAGAGAGTAATGCATAATGAGTGACATAGCCAAATGCTTCTCAGGAAGACACCAAGAGTATTTCTATCTGAGGTAAGGACTGGAACCCTATTTTCTCAGCTTGAAAAACAGTGACATAGTATTGCTGATGGAAATGTAGATTTCTTTTTTGAAAGCAAAACAGCAAATGTAGCAGTAAAATCGGTGGAAATAATTACTTGTTTCCTAGCTGTCCTAGTAAGGGAATGTCTAAGAATTCCTGGGAATCGGAGACAAGGCAGAACTCCCTCTGGTTAAAATGGAATGGACAAGGTCAGCTAACATCCCCAGGACCTATCTGCATAGCTGAACTTCCAAACAGTAATTACTAAAAAGACTAGATCAAGTTACTGTAATCAAAATTTTTGGCTATACCTCATTAGACTGTGGTTAAGAAAATGCACCTTGGACCTTTGCTCAACTGACTGGCACATGCTTGCTGTGATTCTAGCTTAGCATCAATTAGAAAAATATAGAAAGAAAAACTCTTATAGTGACACTGCCAAATGGGTGGACTTTCCTTCTTGGAGAAGGTCATACCTTTGATTTTTTTTTCACAGCTCAACCCCTTCCACTCTAAGCTTAGCTCTTTTCATGTGGTTGTGTTGTTCATTAGTGCGACCAATAAGAGTTCATTCTCATTAGTCAAGCCTGTTATAGAATGAGTAACCAACTGATTAATGTTTGCCTAGATCATCACTATGATTTAAAAGGTTTCTTTTTATTCTTCTTTCCCCATTTTTTGGGACACGGGTAAATCTGTATCTCTGTAACAGCACAGAATGATTAGAGCAGAAAACGACCTTATCTGAAGAATTCAGAACATTGGTCTTTCTTTTGAGTCTATTGCTAATGAGAGTTAAGGAATCTCTGGTTGTTCATCTTCCCCTCCATAAAATGAGGCCTGCACAAAATGTCTCATAGCCCTGGGAGTAATGCATGCAGCTCTCTCCTGGCACTACCTTTGGACCTCTGTGAGTGTGGAGAGAAAGGGGTGGCTTCAGCATAAGAGAGTGGAGAAGTGGGGTTTGGAGGGCACAGCAGGTCAGCAGAGACACAAAACAAGGACAGTCAAGGAATGGAGATAAAATACATGCCCCTCTTCTCTTTTAGTGGAAACTTTAACTTGGCCAGGCCGAGGCATCCTGCCACTCCAGGACGCACTGTCCAAGATTGTGATGAACAGGGCAGACTGCTTTTCCCTTCCTGTGTATCAAGACACTCTCCGTCCACGCCACACCTTCAGCAGTAAGACTAATATCGTGAGGAACTCGGGTATTCTGTTTCTAAATCAAGTCTTGGCTGTCTTTTCATAACTCCAAAGAACATAATAGGTAAGTAAAACTTTAACTATAGATGTTTTTTCCACATTTGTTGACCCTGCTACTTTCAGTATTGAATGCTCACTTAAGCAGATTTAGTACAAAATATATGAAATCACAGTTTTATTTTAATAAATGCTATTTCACTCCTATTCATCAAGACTATCAGGAATCTTTCATATATGCTGGCAGTCACTGGCCTATTCAATATCTGTGAATCTTCCCTTACCCAGTCCTCCTACATCTATGATCATCTGTATGAACTTGTTACCTGGGGGAAATGAGCCAGTGCGGTTATACACAGAGATGGCCCCACAAATCGCAATTCTTCCAAATGCCTTCATTTGGGGTATAACAGTGTTCGAGAATTCTCCACCTACCTAAAAGGGAAATGAACAAGCAAACACATTGAATAATGTAACCACTAAGTTTACAAGAATCATTAAATCATAATCATTATTTCACAATGCTGTTTTAGTAGCAACAAAACTGACTGGGCCAGTCATGCTGGCACATGCCTGTAAGCTCAGCTACTCCAGAGGCTGAGGCAGGAGGATCACAAGATCAAGGCCAGCCTGAGTAACTTAGCAAAACCCTGTCTCAAAATAAAACTTTTTAAAAGGGCTGTGGATACAGCTCAGTGGTGCAGTACTTGCTTCGTATGTGTATATCCTGGGTTCAATGCCCATTACCACAAAATAATCAAACCAAGCCAGAACAAAAAGAGTTAATCAAATTAGCACAGCAGTGCAGAAAATTCCAGTTAGAAAAAGATATTAGAAACAGACATTTCCATTTGACTCTAGGAACATATAATAACATAAACTTTAATTTGTTAAATATTATGTTCTCCGATCAGTCTAATAGTTTCATTGTCCTATAATTGAAACATATGGAAATATGTTGAAAAGACTGTCTTGGTTACCTTTCTCTCCTTGCTGGGACAATATACCTGACACCCAAAATTAAGGAAGGAAAAGTTTATTTCGCTTACAGTTTGTGGAGGTTTCAGCCCATACTTGGCAAGTTACAAGGCAGAGTGGCACATGGCACAAGGCTACAGCTCATGGCGGCAGAACACAGCAAAGCAACAAGCACACACACACACACACACACACACACACACACACACACACACACACACACACACACACACACACAAGGGAGGAAATGGCCAGAAGCACCCTCTTCCTCTCCCTTACTTATGCAAACTATCCACCCCAGGGCGGGTGTAGCTCTCACACCCATAATCAATCAAACTCTAAAAGCCTGCCCCATGGCCACATGAGGCTTTGGGGGGACACACAGACACAAACCACAACAAAGACATATAAAAAACAGTGGTGGAAGACTCACACTGTCCAAATTCAAAACTTACTACAAAGCTAATCAAGTCAGTGTGAGAACAGAAATAAAAACTGAATTATTAGCATAAAAAATGAACATTTATGATCAGCTGATTTTCTACATGAATGTCAAAACAGTTAACAGGACTAAAATAGGCTTTTCAACAAACAGAGCAGAAAACTGGTTATCCACATGGAAAGAATAGAACTTGACCTTACATTATACACACAAAGTAACTTAAAATGCAGTGTACACATGAATACTGTAAAAGCCCCACCTCAGACATCAAAGGTTCTAGTTTAATTCCCAGTTCCCACCCCTGCCGTGGGGCAGATCTTCATGTTTACCATTTCTGGAATGTATGGTTGTAAACTGGTTGTAAACGCCCTGCCCTTCCTGGACTCCCCAAATGTATTGTTCTCCCCGTAAATGCTCTACCCCTCCCGGATTCTCGGAATGTACTGTTCCTGTCATAAAAAATCCCCTCACTGTTACAGATGTGACATATGTTTGCCAAATAGGATGTGGTTTTAGGGTTTAAAAGCTACTCTCGTCCCTGGATAGTGACTGGTCTGATCCTTCCCTGCGTGGAGCCTCTCAGTCAGTCCCTGGCCAGGAATAAAGGCTCGTCCTAAATTCTAATTGGCGGTGCGTGCGTCTCGGTGTTTGTCGGTCGGTACCATTTGGTTCGTTTCTGATTGCGAGTCCAGAACAAATACAACAAGTTAAGCTGAGAAACTCTTAGAATTCACAAAGGAGTAAATTTTAGTGAACTTCAGTAAGGCAAAGACTTCTTAGACTTGACACAAAAGGCCCCAGCAACAAGAGAAAAAACACCAGATAAATTAGACTTCATCAAAATTTAGAACTGTTGTGCTTCAAAGGATACCATCGAGAAAGTGAAGACAACTCACAGAAAAGGGAAAAATAGTTGCAAACCTCTATCAGTGGATTCTACATTTGTAAATTGGGATACATGCTACACTTCATTCATCATGTCAGGATCAAAGCTCACAGTGATTTCCCTGGGAACTTGCAGACAGGCACATAGCCGCAGAAAAGAGACAGCTATTCCCAACAGAGACTAAGCAAGGAAGGTAATCAGCTGCTTTTTGTTTCAACTCTCAGAGATAACCGCAGGATGGAGCGGGTCAGGGGCGGTGCTGTGCAGCTGCGCTGGGGACCACAGGATGAGCTTGAACGCCAGCTCTGGGGGGATGAGTAAGTGCAGCAGCCAGAGGCAAGTTACTGAACGCTTCTGAGCCTCATTCTCTCTTTTGTAAAATAAAGAAAATAAAAAATACTAAGGAGTGTCGTTTTTAGGATTTAAGATTATATTACAAATGTACATATTTGTATGCAGTTCTACTAAAACCAGTGCTTATGGGGTCCTGGTCCATTATTCACAGGATTCTACTGTGAATAACGAAATTCAATGCTATCAGATACATAAGGAACTCTTAAAACCCCAGAAATAATCCATTTGGAAAATAGGCACAGGATTTGAACACACATTTTTCCAAAGGAGATATACAAATGTACACAAAGAGATCCCAAATATTACTGGCCATAGGGAAATGCAAACCAAAACCACCAGGAAATACTTCAAGCCCACTAAGACAGTTACAGGAAGAAAACAGATAATTACAAGTGTTGCTAAGAATATGGAGAAATTGTAACCCTCATAGATTGCTGGTAGGAATATGAGATAGGATAGGGCCGGGGATGTAGTTCAGTGGCATAAGCGCCTGCCTGGCAAGTGCAAGGTCCTGAGTTCGATTCCCAGTACAAAAAAAAAAAATAGGATAGTCACTTTGCATACTAGTTTTGCAGTTCCTCAAAATGATTAAATACGAAGTTACAATATGACCTAGCAAGTCTACTCATGGGTGGATACATAAGGTTAATGAAAACCTGTTCATACAAAAACCTGTACGTGAATGTTCACAGCCGTATTATATGTAATGACCAAAAAGCACAAATAGTTTAGATGCTCATCAACCTATGAGCACATCATTAAAATTTGGTATATCCATATAATGGACTATTTTTCAGCCATAAAAGGGAGTGAATAACTGATAAATGCTACACCATGGATGAAGCCTGAAAACACTTTGCTAGGTGACAGAAGCCAGTCATAAAAGGCCATTTCAGGGGTAAGAAAATGAGGTACTGCTCTGCCATAAAGAAGGATAAATTTGTTTTTCTTCCAGTACCAGGAATTGAACTCATGACCTTGTGCTTGCCAGGGAGGCACTGTGCTGCTGAGCTAAATCCCCAGCCCCAAGAAGGATAAATTTGAATCATTTGTAAGAAAATGAATGTACCTTGAGCCCATAATGTTAAGTGAAATAAATCAGACACACAAACTTAAATATCTCACCGTTTCTTTTTTTTTTTTTT